TAGCCATATCGATACAATTTGCATATACCTACATACATTGAGCTTTGGTCCAGCATTGAGAAGACGAGCAAAGGCATTTTACATATTTCTTTTTGGTTATAGCTTGAGTTCTTTGATACGCCTCTACTTGTTCCTTCCTAGCTCCTTTTTGTTTTCTTTTATTTTTTCTTTTTTGATTTTTTTTTTAAATTGGTAGTAACATAAAGGAACTGGAACCCTTTGAATGCATTTGGTTTCTTCAACTGTCCAAAATAGCTTTTTAGTGAAAAACATAAAAAGACAAAATCAGAACAGTAAGTAAACCTGTGATTCATTATTCAAATAATAATTTTAAAAAAATATATATATATATTTAAAAATTCAGTATTCAATAAATTGGAAAACCATTAAACCTTCACATATGACTGAAGAGACTTTTGTTTCATTTGCTGGTAGCAATCTATCTTTTAGTCACATGCAAAATTAAAATTTATTCAAATGTAATCAATACATGAAAACTGTTTACAAATCGAAACCAGAAATGTTGCCTGTAACAAAAGAAAACAATTTATGGCCCCCCCGAAGATGTATGACTCACAAGTATTTTATCTTCCTAAGAATCTGTTCAGGCACCGTTTATGCCTCATAGCAAAAATTTGTCTATAGAAAAATTAATATAAGAAGCATTACAACACTTTATAAATAATTTACAAAACATAATACAAAATTAGAAAAATGTAAAAAAAAAATCACTGCACATGAATGGTTTTAATACTGTGAGATGAATATAATTTTTTCTTCCAAGCTGGCGATTTATATTTATTTTACATTTTCACTGTCCTAGTTACAGCCTTCCAGTATGTACTTTGGAACAGAAAAGAGCTTATATAACTGCTGCCAGCATATTTTTAAACATTTAGTATCTTTCATACACTGTTTTGTTAACTTTTTTTCTTGGCAGATTTTTCTCATAAAATTTAGAGCAGACCCTGGGAGAACTGGAAATTTCATTTTTAGGTAATGAATGGTTGATGGTTTTGTTCCCAGGCTGTTGATGATGGGGATGGATGGCAGAGAGGGAATGTACAGTCTCAAGGGTGGCTGAACAGGTAATCATGTATGTGGTATTAATGACTGGACAATAAGCAGCATACTGGGGACATGGGTAGGACTTCTGGAGTGTCTCCTTCCAAATATGAGCTATTCTTCCCTGCTTCCCTGTTGGCCTCTGAGTGGTCTCCTGATTGTTATGTAAATTGAATTTTATCCACAACTTTAGGGCTGCTTGGTATAAATAACATAGATATATCTGTGTATATAAGTATCTATGGCTAGAGAAGGAAAAAGAAAACCCAGAGGGGCAGATGTTGCTGTGAGATGCTCTTTACTTCACATGCTCAGCTTTGGTAAAAAGCATCATTTTTGTCTCTCACAATTTGCCTGTGGTTACTCAGGTGTTTTTTCCTCTGGCAGACATTTATACATCAATAGTTGGAGAAGAGTCAATAACAATTCTCACTTTCCTCCTCATAAAAGCAATACTGAAAATATCCTTAAACATACCCTGCTGAAGCTTAAAGCCTAAAATGCATTTGCTGGATGTGAGCCCAGCCTGGAGTACTGGATCCTCAGTGCTCTTCAACCCTGACCTTTGAAAGTGCTCACATTTAGAGTCAATTTCTGGCACAGATAACATTCTCTGAAGCCTTAAAGCTCCACCAGACATGCAGCAAATACCCCATTCTACAAGGCAAATCCCATTAATAAAATAGTGAGGGCCAGATTCAAAGCCCAGTGAAATCAATAGAAGTTCCTTTCTTTCACTGTTTTGGACACAGCCTTGAGTTCTTGAGAAGTCTGTAAGAAAGGCATTATTTGAGGACTGTAGCACTTCGGGAACCTCCTTCATTGTCCCAGGTAGACCAGCAAAAACCAATACAACCATTGTGAGGGTCAGTGAATGAAATAAGGTGTTATACCACCAGAATTTTACTCTACCACCTCTAGAGTGAGCTGAACTAAATCCTCAATGTTATCTTTTGGTAAGTCCTGATCAAGATGCAGCTTCTACCCTAGTGGGCTGAACCACAAAGGCTGCAGCAGAACCTGGCAGAAGATGAAAATTGCAGGTGACCTTCACAGGTCAGCCCATACCCATCATGCAACACCTTTCTCTCCCTCTGAGCCTTGGTATACCCATAGGTCCAATGACCACAGTATTTTAGAAGATGCTTGTCCAATTAAAAAGGAAGGCACAGAGATAAGCTGTCTTTAAATGAAAATCAATTCACCTGTGATGTATTGCAGGTGACCCACCAAAGGATATTCAGTGATGTTCCCTATATCTTCATTGCTTAGTTTAGCCAGCAGTCACAGCAAATGCCTCCTACTGAAGAGGTCAACAGGTCAAGCATCAATATCGGGATGACATTAAAAAAAGGCAGAAGAAACAAAGCACCACCACCGAAACAGTCCGTGGTGACGTAATGATCAAAACAGGCTTGTAACTTTTTGGCCTGTCCATTTGTTTTCATCAGAATCTCAAGAAATTCACTTGGCTAGCAGACCTTGGAGAGCAATTGCTTCAAACAGAAACATAATATAGATGCAGTACTGAACCAAGCGTGCAGTTTATATTTGTACTACAAAATGAGTTTTGGTAACCTGTCCAGGTTTATGGCCAAAGGACAGAGAAATCCCAAGCTACACAGTCTACAATAAGCACAATGTTCAGTGTGGGCTGACAGTTCATGATATATAAACCTAATCCTTCTTTGTCCTCTACTGCATTTCAGCATATCAACAGAAATGTATTCAGATTTCACTATGCTTTTAAAAATCTTCAAAGAGTACTGGGTTATGTGGGTTTGGGGAACGGGTGGAGAATGAGCTGGAAGGAGGGAGGCAGCAAAAAGAACCAGGAAAAAAAAAAGAAAGGCAAACCAAGGCATATACCCTTAGAAGAGAAATACCAAACCCTGCAAATCACAATAAAAATAAATTACTTTTGGCACCCAAACACAGGTGGCAAAACTGTTGGCTAAAAGAAAAGGAAAGAAAAGCAGGTGACCACTATGGCATAGCTTTAACACCTGTTTGTACACACCTGCAGGGAGTGCGAACAAGGATGAGAGAAATTAATCCTGTTGTCTTCCTCTTTGCAAAATACAAATGTAAAAATTCATAACACACGTTTACACTCATAAAAGTGTAGACGAACAATCTAGTTTGCAATGCCATGTTTCTGACTTTGGTTAATAGTTTTCATAGTGAATCAGCACTTGATACCTGAAAGGCTACAATCACTCCTCCAGGTGGCAGGCTTGTATTCGCTTTTAAACAGATAAAAGTATTTTTCTTTTTTTTCCTTTTGTTTTGTTTTTTTTTCCTTAAAATGTGTTTACATTTTATAATATACAGAAAAAAAGTAAGCAGTTATTTGGTTTCCTTTAAGTCCATTTAAAAAACCTGGGTTTTCTGTCTTTTTTTTTGGAACTAATTCTACAACACGCACATGAAGTGTTGTGTATTTTTGTTTAGTTTTTTAAATAGGAAAACACATGGACATTTATAACTGTTCTGTCCTTCTTGTAGTTTTCTCAGTCTTTTACTTACAAGGGTGATGAACAGGTATTTTCATAGAGTTCAAACGATTATGTTTCTCTTGGTGCATGTTTTTTTTATGTGTGTGGTTTTGTTTTGGTTTTAGGAGTTTTCTTCCAGAGAGTCTGTTAAAGGCTCCATAGGAACTGCTGTTGCAGGCTCATGTTGTTTCAAACGTTTAATTGTGTTCTTCAGTGCTTGCCTCTTATTGCAGAACCAAACTCTAACTACTTCACGGTCATAGTTCAGTTTCTCTGCAATCTCTGTCATTTCTTGCCCAGAGGGGTGCGTGTTCTTCTCAAAGTGGGCATTCAAGATCTCAAGGGCTTGTGGCGTGAATGAGGTACGTCTCTTGCGCTTTTTGGATGGTTCACTTCCAATAAACTCGGTAAGGTTCTGCATACCTGCTCGATGGCGGGCCTCAGCCTCAGCCATCCACCGCTCAAGCACCGGCTTTATCTTCTGGGCACTTTTAGGGGTGATGTCCAGCTTTTCAAACCTGGCAGGATACAAAAGGCCAGGGTTCAGTTTGGCTGTCAGACTGCTAGCTATAGTGTTCTCTTGGGCTTCCTGTGGTAGGAAAAAGTGGCTTCTCAGGATGGTGTGTCTGAGGGAAAATTGAGAAAGAAGAGTCTTACACTGATGCTCTGCCAGGGTGGGACTTCCTGCCTGCCTGCCTAATTGACTGGCAGAGGTAACTTACAATTGATTACGAAAACTATCAGATATATATCTATAAATATATATAGAGAGCGCTAGATATTTAAGCCAATACAAAATGAGCACTAAAACAAAATTGTAAGTACACTAAATAATACAGGTTATGAGTTGCAGTTTCATATTTCTGATTATATTCAAAACCCTTAAGGCTAAGTCTAATTACAGGAAATGACATCAAAGGCAATTGCTCTTTATCATCTCATCTTTGTGATTGATCCTTTTGTTTCCCCTCCCGTCCCAAGTTGTCCAAACACCATAGATTCAATAATACAAACCAATGGCAGTTACTAGCCTCTGAATATCATGTTTCCTTTCCTTTCATTTTTCAGCAATTTTCACTATTTGCAAGTTAACACTATATTCCTTTTTTGGTTCACGAAAAGATTCCCATAGCTATGGTGGTGTTCAGCTGAAACAGCCGGACACTTTGCAAATATCTTGGCTGCCCCCACAATGTGTAAAGACAGACTCATGTTTTCCAGATGAAACCCAGCATAATAGCCTACTAATATGTTGTGGCACCAAGCTGGGTTTATTGTGGGATTTCTGCAAACTGTACCAGAATGATATCATTTCCTGTAAATGAGGTCTTCTAGATATCATTTTGCCATCAAAAATCTTTTGCCAAACCAGATTTTACAAGTACTATAAAACATCTGGAAAAGCAGCCACACAAAGCTTTAATCCTTTCAAAAACAAGCAGAAGAGCTGAGTTCACATTTCAAGTTTTATCATATATAGTTGTTTCTCTCATTTGCTGAGTTCATCCTCTCTTGCTACACATTAAAAAAGTCTTAATCCAACTCCTCTGATGCCACCCATTCATATTTCCTCACTTTGCCTATGTCCACCCCGTACATTGCAGGATTTAGTGCTGTGGAAAGGCAACAATTATTGCACAGCACTGCTGCACTCTCCTGCCTGCCCAGTGCTGAAGCACCACCACTGCCACCGCTAATTACAGTGTGCTCTGGAGACAAGGCTGACTGCTTTGCCTTTGTGCAAAGCAACTCGGTGACTGGAGTTGACAATTTTTAGTGTCTCTGTTCAGCACGTGGCGGCAGCAGGAAATATTCCAGCAAAAACCAAGGCATTTCTCACAGAGAATAATACAACTAATGATTTCAGATAATAACATTCCAAAGAATTTGTAACTGGTGTCTAGGATCCTAGTGTCGTATTGACTGCAAGATGTCTTTCCTTGGAAGGAAGGATATCCCCCCTATCCTTCCAGTGATAATTCAGGCTGAAGTGCATGTTTTAGAATGCATTGTCTCAATTTAAAAAAAATGCCATTACCTGTATGCAGAACATATCAGCAAGGTGCTGATGTGATTTGCACAGGGCACCCGGGAGACTCTACTTCTGTCTCCGAGCTGGTTGTTCAACTTGCTTACCTTACAGCCCCTTCCATCACCCTGGAGTTCATACTGAAACCCCTTTGTTACCATGAAAAGAAAAGTTCTGAAAATCAGTATACTGCTACTAAGCAGCTTGTCATGATGCTTAACAAGACATGCATATTCATAGCAGGTTATAGCATCCCAGAGTGATACCCATCGGCAAAGAGGGGGTCAAAGAAAGTAAAAAGCCTATAACCTCGCTAGTATTTGGGACCAGCTTCTGCACCTAATCCTCATGTTCTGAGCAATCTGTTCCACTAAGGAGCCCTCTGTAAAAGATTTCCACATTCTGGGCTTTTGTTAGCCATGTCTGTGCTCCAACTGCATCTTAATTGGGGTTTTCATGATAATCAGTTAATAGGGAACTCTTTCTCTTAGTAAAATTCAGACCATCCCAGTGTTTTTCTCAGGTGTGAGTTAGATGGAGGAAATGAGAAGATGGCAAGCTAGACAAAAGCAAAGGAAACTGCACTTTATCACTTTAAAGTAGAGTCTATTAAACAGCAATTTAAGGTTACAACAAATTGGCAATTGATAAAAACTCCACCCATTTTAGGCATTCTTTACCAATTGACCACAGAGAGGGAGAGGAGGAAAATCCTTAGCAACAGGGAGCAATAGCATTCATATCATTGACACTGCTTGTTAGTGTTGATACTGCAGTAGATGTTGTTTGGTATAATGATATACAAGTCTTGAAACAAATTTCCCAGCAGTAGTATCCTTGTATAGACTGAATAAAGGTTATTTTCTACAGGGAGGTATCTTATAAGAAAAAAACAGTAGGGGACACCATAGAAGTGTGAGGATCCTATGGAGCTTTCTGTATTTAACAACAATCAATGGGTTTTATTGAAAATCATTGAGCAAAATGTGAGCTGCAAGCTCACTACCCCATACTGATGTTATTTATAACCTCAGTCTTAAACTGCAGGAAAAGTACATTTCTGTTCTATGGGGAATACATTAAAAGTATAAAGAGCAGATAAAAAGACAGAGCATTTCATGGATCACCAAGAACAAAATCCACTTAAATGAGCTTAGAGTTGGTTTCTTGGCTTTTACTGATGGAGAAGGACTATAAGTCATTGCCCAAGAGGAAAAAGCTGTTACCTAAGTGTGTTAGTTACTTCATGCATAAACATAGGATTGCTGTAACACACATACATGCATATACGTTGTTTGCTTCTAACTACCTTAACTCTGTCAAGACTGTATTATCATTTCTCATTATTAGGGCAGATTTCTGCTTCTGCTTCACATACATAGGTTGTCTGTTTGTTTTTTAGTAAACATTTGGGTGATAAAAGATGAATAGCTGCTGGTTTACAAGATAGCAGGATGGATAATTTTTTCCCTTCTGTGTTGCCTAGGTATTAACATCCTATATGTGAAGTGCTAACCACAGTAATACGTTTTAACTTAGCAGGGATGCATCCATGAAATATTTGTTCAGCAGCCCTATTTGTAGAAAATGGCACAGTATGAAGAGGGTCAGCTGATGCTTATCCAGCATCAGCAGGGTCTCCAGCTTGCCTATTGAATTAAGTCTCAATGCCAGGAACACTGTTTCTCACTTGTTTAAAAAAGAAGGAAGGAAAAAAAAGACTAAAGTTACTTTAGGCACACATAGGAAGAACATTTTCTCTCCAGATACCAACATTATTGGCTAATTTAAGTTCCAGATTAAATAATGCATTATAAAGACATGAAACTCAAACACAAGCATGCTGCTTGCAGTAAGCTGAATAATTTTTAAGAAGAGAGGAGTTTATGATTTAACTTGTTACCTGCAGATGGCAGACTGGCTATAGGCTGGGCCTTCGGTGGCGCTTAGGGCTTGGCCAACTTGAGTCTGTGTCAGGCCAAGGGACAGGCGCCGGATTTTAAAAGCTTTAGCAAATTCTCGTATTTCTTCCAGATTCACCCCATCCACCTCTCCAGTGGCTGTTTGAGGATCTGTTGAAACATTTTTTTTTTATCATGTCAGTTCTTTTCATCATATATGAATGGGCTAGGCTTACACCAGCTTTCATTGTCAAGATGTTCATGTTCATTTTTTAAAATACTTATCCCTTTTTCTTCTTCCCCAAACAGAAACAGGCTTCCCTTGTCAGGTGTGCTATGAAGCATGTTCAGATTGCTAAAATGCTAACTAGGCTGCATTGTTTCCAGGTGCTGGTGAAAGACTTTGAAAGACAGACTTTGTTGCTGAGCTCCTGAAAATGGCCAGCTCACCTTCAACTGAAGTGGTGCCTAGGCTCATTGCTGCCATTTGTGCCTTGCAAAATCTCCCCCAGGTTGACAAGTCACCCTCCCCATTTCCCCTTATCTCATACAGAAGGAAACTAGTCTTAATATATTTATTTCTAGTCTGTGAGGAGGACTAAATAGACACATGAACTGCTTGGGTTTTTAATCTCAAATCAAGACTTTCTGCTTTATCTAAAATCAATGTAAAATAAGGAGTTTCACAAACCTTCCTTCCCTTTTGCACAACACCCAACCCAAACCACCAGCCAAACATCCAAACATAACCCAGCAAAGGAAGAATCCCAAACAAAATGCTTTCTTTACAAACTCCTTAATTTAAAAATAATCTTTTAAAATATGCCCTTCTGAGAAGCAGCCTTTCAAGCTTTTCATTCTGCCTCCCATCAGGTTGATAATCGAGAAGCAGCAACATCAGCCATTACATTTCAGATGGTAATGCAGCACAATTTTTTGCTTTTACATTAGCTCCTCAGAAGATAATGCTTATGATGCTGTGAGGATAAATCTGTTCTCACTCTCCATAGCAGTTTACTGACATAGAAGCCTTTGTCCCTGAAAGGGCACATAATAAACCATGTCTACCACAGTAAAGCTCCTTTGGTGCTGGATAACTCGGTCAATTTAGGACTTATCAAGGAAAATGACACAACAGCTGGAGAGTGGAACTTTCCACCCTCCATCCACCGCCCCCCCCCAAGCTACTGATCCCTGGCTAAATGAAAGCATTTGTGGAGAAGGAGACAGCATGGGACTGGGATAGTGGAAAATTTCAAAGTGTTGTGCAATCCTGCATGTAGTGAAGCCATTCTCCCAGTGAGACATCTTTATTGTTCTTCAACTCATTCCTCAGAATTTTTAGGTGAAAAGTTTGCAGCACAATACCCATCAATTTCTGCAAATGCAAGCAGTTGTCCAAGGACAGTGCTAGACCACATTACTATTCTGAACCCTATGTGAGAGTGGTTCCTGCTAGTACTGCTATAGGTAAAGGTTTGTCAGCATTACAGTAACAAAGCTTGTATTTTCAGGGGTTTATGAACCTGATGTAAAATTCCCTTATGATAGAAATGTCCTATAAAAAATCTTTTAGTCCAATAATATATATAGTATAGTGCTGTGACAGGGGCCACTCAGGTTTGTAAAATAATTGGCTTTAGAGGTGTGACATTTTCCTACTTACCCCACACACAGTCTATCTAGCATACCAGTTCTGATTTTCAGAGACATATAATGGAGCTGGATGCTTATCTGCCCTTTGGGTCTCTGAAGAGCAGTTGATAAATGGATAAAGTAACATAAATGATAATGGCCTCCAAGATGGTGACCTTCCTCACCTCTTTCCTTCCTTCACTTTAAGGCCTCTGACTAAGGCTATTAGGGATATGACAAAGGACAATTCAGGTGTTCCTGGAGACCTTTCCAAGTAGCAACACTACGGCAACTGGCAACTGTAAACCTCCCCAACTCTTGATAGAAATAAAAAGGGAGGTAAGAAAGCTAAGGAATTATTTGCTTTCACATGATTATAGAGAAATTCTGCCAAGTTCTGCTAGATGATGGAACTAGATGATATTTAAGGTCCATTCCAACCCAAACCATTCTATGATTCTATGATCCTTCTGGTATGATACTGTTGCAACAGTGAATATCATGGAAAGTCCTTTTCTGCTTGGGGTGAAGGAACAATCAGGCTGAGCTCTCCTTGAGATGAGAAAAAAATTGTGATACACTTCAAGAATATGGAAGTAGGTTGTAATATGTGGTGGAGTATCTGTTGAGAAAGAGGCTTCATTCTTACATATCATATTTGGGAGAAGAAAAGTATTAACAGAGGTGGACCAAAACACTGAAGCCTTTTATCCCTGAACTCTAGGGAAAAGAGCATTTGTATCAAATCAGAGCCAATTCTACTTCAGGTGTGACTCAAAGCCCTTTGAACTCAGTAGAAGTAGTCCCTTGATTTCTGTCAGCTCCATGAAACTCAGACAGAGTGAACAATGAAGAATGAAGAGTGAACTATGAAGAATGCTGTATTGACATCATCATATAACACGTGGTCTGTTTTACTCTATTGCCATTAAAATGGCATCAATAAATAATCTTGGAGTCTGTGGACTAATACCTACACATACATAAACATATACAAATAGATAATGGACTTTGTTTTAATAAGTTCAGAGCTCTCAGAACAGTTAAGTGGACAGTGCACTTCACATTTTAAGAAAAGTAGCTTATTGAGGACTGTAAATAAACCGGTGCTTTTTAAATTAACTGGATATGGGTGTCCTGGTGGACAGCAGGATGACCATGAGCCAGCACTGTGCCCTTGTGGCCAAGAAGGCCAATGGCATCCTGGGGTGTACCAGGAGGGGGGTGGTGAGTAGGTCGAGAGAGGTTCTCCTCCCCCTCTACTCTGCCCTGGTGAGACCGCATCTGGAATATCGTGTCCAGTTCTGGGCCCCTCAGTTCAAGAAGGACAGGGAACTGCTGGAGAGAGTCCAGCGTAGGGCTACAAAGATGATCAAGGGAGTGGAGCATCTCCCTTCTGAGGAGCGGCTGAGGGAGCTGGGTCTCTTTAGTTTGCAGAAGAGGAGACTGAGGGGAGACCTCATTCATGTTTATAAATATTTAAAGGGTGAGTGTCACGAGGATGGAGCCAGGCTCTTCTCGGTGACAAACAATGATAGGACAAGGGGTAACGGACACAAGCTGGAACACAGGAGGTTCCACTTAAATTTGAGAAGAAACTTCTTCTCAGTGAGGGTGACAGAGCACTGGAACAGGCTGCCCAGAGAGGTTGTGGCGTCTCCTTCTCTGGAGACATTCAAAACCTGCCTGGACGCCTTCCTGTGCAACCTCATCTAGGTGTTCCTGCTCCGGCAGGGGGATTGGACTGGACGATCTTTTGAGGTCCCTTCCAATCCCTAACGTTCTGTGATTCTGTGATATCCTGGAGAAGGCACCACAGTGCTAACACGAAAATAAAGAGTACCAGTCTCATTGTGTGGTTGGAATCTACAGCAACAGCATTTAAAGATTCCCAGTGTACATTATGGCTTGATAAAACAATAGCTGTTGTGTCTCTGAAACTACTGGTTGCTGGAGAAAGGTCAGAGAGTTGTCTGGGACCATTTTAGAGGATAGATGTACATATATCCTAACAAAAAGAAAGCCATCTGAAATTTCCCCAGATGTCCTGGTGGATGGTGAAGGTGGAAGAGTAGAAGAAATGAAATCCACAGGCTCTCCTTCTGCATTGAACCCCCTTTTCACTTACTGAAGGGAATACCACTCCCACTTTCGAATTATTCTGAAAATCCTGCATGAGTTTGTTGGTGAATGCAAATATGGTGTGATTCTAATAGTTAGGGGAAAACAGAGAAATCAGTGCAAAAAAAATCAGAAAGAAAATTTCTGTTGTGTAGAGTTATATCATGGGAGGGATTAGAGGCGATGATTTCCCCAGTCAGATAGGAGGAGAAATAGCTGGCACAGGAAGTTCAATGTAAAGTAAACTGAATAAGAAAGGCAGGACAAAACATTGTTAATGGAAAATGAACCAGAGCTCAGGGGAAAGAAGGATAATTTGTTTGTGGGAGGCATTTTAATTTTATAGTAACAGCTGACAGTAAAATTAATTCGGAAGGAAGAAAGGACCTTCATGGAGACACAAGTCTCAGGGAATGAGAGGAAAACAGTGATTTCCAGAAAGAGAACATATGGTTGAAAAGTTAAAGAGATAAGAAGTGGGATGCATCTGAGGGAAATGAAATAGAAAAAAATGGAGGAATAATGATGTAGAACTGAATAAAGAGGAAAAAAGAACACAAGTAGGATGACACAATATGAAGAAATCACACAGAAGGGACAGGAAGAGTAGAACTGAATCTTGCAGTCCTTGCTTAGGCAGAACTTCTTTTTAAGTGTCCTTTCTTTGGAAATAACCTTAGGTTTTTGTCATTAGAAGAACTTGCACTTGTTGGTGGTGAGGGATGAAGGGTTGATGATGTCATTAAAAGGAGAAGCTATAAAGAACACAACAATTCAGAGGAAAAAAAAGGACAGGAATTTTTTTTAAAAAGGATGAAAATGCAACTTTTTTAAATTAGGAAGCATGTTAAAGAAAAAATGTAAAATCACAAAATAAATATGACTAGAATAAAAGGCAAAAGGAATTTAAAAGAAGGAACACGGAACTCCGAAGTTCTGATCCCTTTCTCATAGTACTTTAGTAATCTGATAAGAGTAAAGAGAGTTGTTCTCATTACAGTCAGTGTGCGGAACCTTGCCCCAAGTAATTACTTATTTACTGTAGTTATGTTTCTCTAACCAATTTGATTAATAGAATAAGGTAGCTGAATATGCCTAGTTTTACTTTACTATATTTGGCAACATTTTTTGGAATATGGCAAATCTCCACCAAGGTACTTGGCTCTAGGACCTCTGCTGGAGGACTGGACTGCAGCTTTGGAATGAATAAAGAAAAGAAAACAACAATATTTCTGCCTCAAGAGGGGTAAAGCAATCAAAAAGCTATTCAGGAGACCACAAGTTGTTACTTTGGTGCCTTTATGCCTATGGATTTCTTTCAGGACCACTGACCCATTGCAGGCCTCATCCCACTAAAAGTCTTTGAATAGACTTTGGCAGACACTAGATTTCAATTGCAGACCCGCAATACAAAGCTCTGCTAGACAGAGTCTGAAGCTAGATATTGAGCGAGCACTTGTGAAAAATCTGTTTTAAGTGACTTGCCTGCCACTGTGCTGGAATTACACGGCAGACAGAAAGCTTCAGCTCCTCAGCCCTCTACTGCCTGAAGCAAGGCTGTCTCTCATGCTTCTACAGTTCCTTACCTCAAATGTTATGCAAACTGGGGAATAGTTTAATGAATCGGGTAGGGAACAAACCCTGGGACAACAGCCTGCCCGTTGCATTAGTAATTCTGACGCATCTCTAGAACACTGAGAATGCACTGAAAGAAGAATGAGATAATAGTCA